GTGGGTTTACTAGCTTGTTCTTGCAAGGCTGGCTGCAGATTTTCAGTACTTTAAGGACTATTTTTCAGTGAAGAGGGTGTCTAAAGCTATCTGAAATGTGAGCCCACAAACAAGACAAAAATCACCAAAATCTGCAGTCAATTTTGGAAAATTGTTGACATGCAATTTGTCAGCCCCTGAATCCAGAGGCAGTAAGTTAAAGGCAGCTTGCTCACAGCCTGCACCAGTCTCTATCTGCTCATTCATACACATGCATACTCGTATGCAAGGGAGAATGCTATCCAGCTCAAGACTTCTTTTATCTGAATAATCTCTCTCACTTCGAAGAGTCTGAAAAAAGTCTTTCTTAAGATTGCCAGCTGCATTTTTTAAGGGTCCACCTGCCAACCACGCTATCCCGTGGAGCTTGCAAAGGATTTCAAGCTCAGGTGTCATGTAGTCACGTTGTTTTTGGAACCAGAGCCTACTTGCTGTGAGACAAGCGCCAGCTGTGCCCTGCACAATACAGAAAATTAAGAATGCACACTTAAACAAAATCCTTTCAAGGTGGTTGGCTGGGGACTGTATTCTTGGAAAACTTGCTTTATTTCTCTGTGATGCAGCTCCAAATGCTTAGCAGGGATAACAGTAAGACTTCACATCACAAGGATGTTGTGAAATACAGCTCTATGTGTGAACCCTACCGTCAGATGCTCTGATGAGTGCCATAAAATACCATGTAAAAAACAGAATGTAGATGGGCCATAGTAAAAGACATATGTTGGGTGAGGGAGCCAAAATAAAACAATGGATTTCTGATATCTTAATAATTACCAGTGATTTTAGGCAGCTTTTTTAAAAAGAATCTGCAGTGTAGTGGAATATTTATGTGGAATAATGGAAAAAGTTATTGAAATACTTAGGATTGTGTCATAGCAACCTCTCACAAGGAAAGTGAATAAATGTGTGTCGTTGGCTTTAATACTGACATTCAAAGATTCCCCAGTTTTTTTCATAGTTTTAAAAAACATCAAAGTAAACAATATTTTCTAAAACTTTTTATTTCATTTCTGCTATATTTTCTATTTGTACTGGAACATGCTCTGCTAATGAATATATTCAGACATGTGTAAGTGGGAGAAGTGTTCAAAATTCTGTTCTACTCCTCCTAATCTCACAAATTATTGAATCACAGCAGTTCCTTCATAATACTCCTGGGTGTTAGAAACATCAAATGAACATAATCTCTCATGCTAACTTTTCTTTACCTACTACCTTCATGCTTCTGAAGGCAAAAGGAAATCCCATACAGATTCCAGGTCAGGGTGCAGGTGATGTTTCCATGTTATGAGCTCCAGTCTCATTTTGGAAGCACAGAGCATTCCTACCTTTACAAAAATGGTTGCTGCTTGCAGTAGCTTTAATTCTGCTGAAAGCTGATGCGATTTCTTGGGCACATTTCAGGTTACCTTCATCCGCCCTCTGTAGCCAACAGAAAAATAATTGCATGAATTATTTTGCAAAATGAAGGTGCAGGAGAGAGAAGAGTATTCATCTCTCCCGCATTATACATTGTTTGTTTGTAACTCAGCCACAAGTTTCTCCTAAAATCACACATTTAAGGTATAACAGATACTACTATATACTGTGCTATGTCTTGTTATGTTTACCTCCTGGTATTTCAGCCATGGAATCATAAATGTTTACATCTGACACTGCAATATTCATTTGCAGAGCTCAGAAACTATTGTTAAGCTAAGAAAATGTTATTACCCAATATAAAAAGAAAAAAAAAATGGAGTCAAAGAGAAAAGATGACCTTAGAAGAAATACTGTCAAAAATAAAGTGATAAGGTTTGTAGATCTCTTGTGCAGTACATTTGTCCAGAAATCACAAAATAAAGAACAACAGGATGAGATGGAATATTCTGTGTTTACTTCTCTAAAATACAGAGAAAAGACAACAAATAGATACTACTGATAAATGAAATAAGCAGATGCTTAGACATTGTTATTATTTTTCTAGGCATCCTGGAAGGAAAAAAAATGCATTTTAGAAGGGATTATGAAGAGGAGAAACATCCTACTTTGCAGGTATTTAAAAAGACAAATCTTCCCAGTCATGTATAGCATCATCAGTGGAAGAACAGACGTGTTTGAAAACAAAAGGAAGACAGAGGTTGGTGTCATGGGATGATCAGAGGTAGGAATGAATCTCAAAAACTGAATAAAAGATGAGAAGCAGAGAAGTGACTTGATAATTATTTTTGCAGAGAAACAGCTGAATATTTGAAGTTTATTTGAATATCCTCTGTTGTCAGACAAAAAAAGAATTAACCCTCAGAATAGCATTTCTAAAACCACATCCAGTGGCTTTTGCTGCAGCATTAAGACGACAGTAATGGGGACCTGCCAGAGGCTGGTGGCATTGCCCTGCTTCTGTTGGCATTCCAGAAAAGCTGTGTCATTCCCACTATTGCTACATTCTTCTGTCCCTGTAATGAAATTTATTCATTGATACAAAAAAATTGATGCAGTCCTCTGCTTGGAAAGCTTAGGCAGGGAAGAAGTCACAAACTTAGTATAAATTGAGTGCAATAGTCAATATAATTTCCTGTATAACTTAAGTCTGGTCTGATGGTCAAAAAATTTGCCACTGAGTCCTTGTCCTGGGTTCAGCAGTAGCAGTCATGTTTCTCCTTCTTGGTAGCTGGTGCAGTGCAGTGTTTTGACTTTCGGCCTGGGAACAGAACTGATAGCGATGTTTTGGTTTGGCCAAGGACTTTGTGAGCCTCATGCTCTGCCAGGGAGGAGGGGAAGCCAGGAGGAAGCAGAGACAGGACACCTGACCCAAACTGACCAAAGAGGTATTCCATACCACAGCATGTCATGCCCAGGATGTAACTGGGAGTTAGCCGGAAGGGCTGGGAGACTGCAGGGTTGGAGGAGGTATCGGTCGGAGCTTGGTCGGGCTTGGGGGGCGAGTTATTGGTCAGCTGGTGCTGAGGTGTTGTATTCTCTTCCCTTGTTATTTCCTTTATCTTTATTATCATTGGTGGTAGCAGTAGTGATCTGTGTTATACCTTAGTTACTAAACTGTTCTTATCTCAACCTGTGGGAGTTGCATTCTTTTTGATTCTCCTCTCCGTCCCTCCGGGAGCAGGGGGAGGGCAAGAAAGGGGGGGGAAGTGAGCGAACGAGTTGCCTGACTGGGTTTAAACCACGACAGTCCTACACCCTAATCATTTTCACCTGCATACTCCACTTTTCTATGTTTGAAACTGCAAAGAAGGGAAGATCTAATCAGGAAAAAAGCTATCTACAGATTGTAGATTATCACTACAACACAACCAAATTTACTGTTTTCTGTCAGGAAAAGAGGAAAAAAATCTCCCCAAAAGGGGCCTAGATACAGCTGTTTAGAAAAGAAATGTTGAATTTCAAGAAAAAAAAAAAGGGAAAAAAAAGTAAAGAAAGTCAAGTCAGTTGGGAACATATTCCTGCTTCTGTATGCCTTTTTTGTTTTGAGACTTGTGAGACTTTTCTCATGTGATTAAATTAAAATTGTCTGGGTTGTTCAACTCTAGTTGTTGACAAAAAGAAAGGCCGTTAGGCTTATTATTTCATTGAGTGATACTATAACTCCATATATGATGAAAAATAGTCATAGAATGAAGCAAAAATAATCCACAAAACACATTAACATTTGAATTTCTAGACTAAACCAGCCTAGACATAAAATTTTCCAAAGATGACAGATTTTTTTTTTTCCCAGGGTAAAACCAGAAGCATGTGCATCTTGAAAATTACTTGTTTGGTTTCCTGATCAACATAAAGCACATAAAAGAAATGCAAACAGATGTTATTTTGCAACAGTTATATTCTGGTTGTATATTTGTGACAGAAATGTGTGAAAAAAACAAATTCGTCATGGAAAAATTAATTAAGATGACAAGTGTATTAAAAGTAAATCCTGATTATTAACATATTTTTCTTCATATTGACACACCCATCTTGTTTTCTACAGATAAATGGCCAAGACATATGATAAATGATCCACGTGCTCTACAATTATGTATTCTATGTTTTCATTTCACTGTCATATTTTATAGCATTATTTTCTGACTCGGATGGTAGCCAAACCCTTTGAATACATCTCTTCTGCTCTACTGTCGAAAGTACTGACATATGTTACATATACATTACCCTCAAAGACCGCCCCCCAAAAAATGCAAAACCATGAAAAATAAATAAAATATTCTAAAAATATACTGTAAATTTACAAGGAAGGGTGAACATATAGGAGATAAGGAACATAAAATACTGAAACTCACAATTTGGAAGAGAGCAGGATGTTAAAAGAATTTTAAAGGAAAAGAATATTTTATCTCTTGGTAGAAAGCTGGAAACTTATATCTAGGTTTCAAGTGAGAAAGAATGACTGAATAATGCAACTATTAATGCATACATCAGAGCCCTGAGAAAAATGTATTCTGACTCTGTACTTTCTCTTCTACTTCCTTTTGTCTCCTTCTTTGTCAGAAATGAACTTGGGCTAGCACTCTAAGGAAAAAAGAAATTAGAGTTATGAAAGACAGAATTATTTACTTGTTAGGGTAATAGGTAAGTAGTTAAAACATTACTCTTCAGATTCATATTAAAACACTTACAGAGTCATAATTCAAAATGGTTCATAGTTGGACTTTGACAGGGCTACAGGGAAACTGTTAGAGATCTTAGGCTGACTTAATATGCACTGAGGGCAAGGTCTTCCCAAGGCTTAAGGCTGAAAGGTTTTCATAGGTTGTGCTTTACAAGTGGATAACAGGGCATTTTAAAATCATATCTGAAAAGAATTTCAAAGCAGACAAAGCACTGTGTTAAAGCATGCATTATGTATCATTCTCCTACACACTTCAGCCGCTACTAAGCTTGTCTTCCTTTCCCTTGTTTCTTCCATTGCCCAGCCCAGCCCAAACTAAAGTGTGACTCTCAGATTTCAGAAACAGGTTATACTTTTGTATTTTTGAAAAGAGATTAAATTGATCCATTAAACATGTAAGAATGGGAATGACAGTAAGGAGCTGCCATGTGGATACACTTCTGGACCGAGTAAGTTGCCCTTACCTTGGAAGCTAATTGGAATTAAAGGAGGGTATGTGAATTTTCCTGTGGATATGAATCCAGGCTGCAATGAAGCTAATTTACTCATGAACAAAAATTGATCTAGAATAGCTGTCCTCTACCAAGTCCCATTCAATATCTGAAAAACAGTACTATCAACATATGACTGTTTTTAAAGGTCAAAGGGTGGTGGCCATTCAGGTCTAACACATTTTATGCTAGTGCGCGTTTCATAATCTAGCAATGGTAGTACTACAAACTTCTAGCAAGATCATAAACAAAAGGAAAACAGTGTACTTGTCACTGGATCAGTGAAGACTCCCCTGAGAGTCTAAATAAGTATTTTTACAAAAGTCTGTATCTACTGGTGCCTGACCCATATTCATTCTATCCTGGTTTTCTTTTGTGCAGAGTTTCATAGGTATCCAACGTAACTGAGAGAAACAGCTTTTGTTTTCCTCCAAACACCAGCAGACCACTGATTCCCTGCTATCGCAGAGGTGACCCTGTGTAAGTGTTATACTTTCTTCAGCCCAGACTAACCGTAAACCAGGTGGAATAATATAATTTTTCCTTCTCAAATTTTATGATTAAACCTTGAGGACAAAATAATTTATATTAAAATTCATGACAGAGGTTCAGATCTTTCTGACTCATGGCTGTTTCTTGTCCCTCTTCACTGCTTTCTACAGTGTTCAGAAAGCATGAACACATGATTTTCAAATATAGTGCCAAGGACCCTAAAATTAGACACACATTTTTTCAATTGTTGTAATTATTATTAGTACTATTGTTGTTATTGAAATTTTAATTGTAAATAATTAATTTTTATTTAACCTTTTAATAGATATTCACTTCAGGCTTCCCCATTCAAAGCAGAGCCTATCCCACTAGCACAGTGGTAAAATCAGTTTTGAAAACAAAGAACCTGATCTTAGAATATTTTGTGTGTAAAACAGAGAAGGAGGACTATGAAAAAAATAACCCTCTCTTCAGAAGTCTGGCATGAACCTGTAATTTTCACCTATTAACTATTTTCTCTTAAAGCTGTGATCAGAAAGACATCTTCATATACGTTCCTTGTGTGTACTGTAGATTTATATTTATATAACCACTTATAAAACCAGTAAGCTAGAGGAAGCTTTTTTTTGCTGTTTAATAGCATAGCTTGAAATTATACTCTGCTTTCTGCCACAGCTCACCAGCAGAAATATGGCTTACACTGGAAAAACAGAGATAGAAGAAGGAGATGATCAAGAGCACATCTAAACTACCAGCCATTCAGGGTGGGTGGGGTTTTTGTAGGTGAAGATCCCAGAGGGCTCAAGGAGAATTCTTTGCCTCCAAGACTGCTGCATAAGAGATGTACAGATATACATGGTCTAATTATTTTTTAAGTGTATAAGAAAATCCGACACTTTATGCTTTTTTTCTTTAGCAAACTAAAAGCTGGTGAGCAGAGCAGAAGCAGAAAAGGAGCAATCAGCAGAGGGCCAGGCTACTTGGTGAGAGCAATCTATGCTGTACAGTTAGAACTTAATTAAATCTCTCTGGATCCTGTAAGCTTCTTTTAATAAAAGTATGTGAAAAGTGTTTAAAATCCTACAGAATTGCTCACTTCAGTGTGTGTCCATACTTAAAAGGACATTTGCTGTTTTGGTTTTGGGCAAAATTCTGAAAAGAAAAGCTGTCAAGGACAAGGGGATTGTTAACTTTATTAAACACCTACTATGTATAAAAGCACATGACACATGTATACATGTAAAATATACACATACACATATAAAATATGTAGTGAAAAAAGTAAATTTGCCTATACTCCCTTGTGTTTATGCAGAGTCCTACAAACTAGTTGTGAGGATAATAATGACTGCTGGGCTGTGTCTTCTTGAGGAATATCCAACTTTTTGTTAGTTTTCCTCAGAAACGTTGTGGATATTTTAAAAACGGGTAGGTATTTACACACACCATTATCTTTAATCTCTTTTTGTCTAGTAACTGATAAGTAAATTTTTTGTCGTTGCTGTTTTAGGCGTTTCTTTTAAACTTGGAAGAAAGGCAAAGAAATGTCAAGTAAGAGATACAATTTGTGCAAATATTGATTAATGGCTAAGTAAGTGTCAAATGATCATTTCATCTAGTTGCTGGCATGCTGTATTGCAATTATTTTGAGAATGAGGCGGGCACAGCAGAGCCAGGCTGAAAGCACGATAGCAAGCCAGCTTTTCCAAGCACATCCTGAGGGAAGTTTCTGTAGAAAGACCTTATCAAACATCATAGAAGATCTTACTGCATTGCAGCACTGGTGGGTTTTGTATTGTTCAGTACAATAGTCTGAATTATTTGATAAAACCTGCCTGTAATATAGCCAAATGAGAAGTTTTACACAATTGACAAAAAAGAATGGAAATCATGCAAACAGAGCAGTAAAGTAGGTGTCCTGGAAAAGGATATCTCAGAGAAAATGAGGTAGGGATTCACAGAGGATAGACAACTCAATTAGAGGTACCATTCTCATGCTGGGTCAAGAAGGCCTAATGCAATCCTTAGATAAATGTAGAGAAAAAAGCTAGTAGAAGGAAAGAAGTGATTTTGCTTCTGTAATAGACCGTCATATGGGAATGTAGGATTTTTGCTAACATATATGAAAAGGTTGAAAATATGAAGAGATGCCAAAGAGAGATGCTAAAATGAGTTGAGGGATATAGAAAGTCCCTTCAGGAAGATACGTAGAGTTTAGTCAGTTTAAATTAGCAGAAAAGAGTCTGAAAAGTTAGTGGAATGCTGGACGTAAGTATCTTTAAGAGGAAACACTGGAAAGTGAAGGGCTCTCTAATCCATTAGAGGGGAGCAGCAAGGACTGTTGCAGACCAAACCCTGGGCAAATTAAGCTTGAAACAAGCCACACCTTTTCAAACTCATTTAAACGTACTCATTAAAAAATGAGTATGGTAAATCACTAGACAAATGGCAAAGGGGAGTAGATTTACCCTAAAGTATTTATATCTAGAATGGGAGGCTTCTGGGTAGAGAGAGAAAAGCAGCGGATGAGCAGATTTATTTCAGGTAACCTGAGGCCCTGCTGGGAGAAGACCCTGCATAAGTCAGAAGTTCATAAAGCTTATTTCAGAAAGTAAGAGCAACAAACATCAAGGGGGAACTACAGTCTGCAGCTCTCTCTGGCCACGTTCACCTAACCCAAGTCCCAAATACACCTCTGGGTTTAGAAAGCATGGCAAGAGCCTGAAGTAGGAGAGATGAAAGAGGGACAAGCTGGGGGTAGTGTGGGTTTAGGTACCTGGTTTTGCCATAAAGATTTGGTGGCCTGGGCAGAAAGAGGGAACAATACACCTGTGAAATGCAGAGAAAACAAGCTGAAAGAGTGCATTGGCACCATCAGCCTTTGGCTGTGCCTATGCTGGCAGGCCAGTGAGACTCCAGGTCCATGATATGTCTCAGTTTAGTTCTGAGTCACTGTCACATGGTTGCTCATATGTATGTATGTATATAGTCCCCTATTTACTAAAAAAGCCACAGAGCTATTTACTATCCATGAAAAGCCCAATTTCAGAGTCATTCTTCCTACCTTTAGCTATAGGCTCTCTAAGTTATGGGGGTTTTCCACATGGGCCTTTCACAGCTTTCAGAAAAAATAATTTCTAAGGGACTATTCTAAATATTTTTGCATATGTATCCTAAGCTAATTTTCCTTAAATATACATACAGATGCATACAGTTATATATGGAGTATTCATAATGAAAAAAACTGAAAAAAATAATACCTAAAGCCTCAGATACAGTGGTGGTATCCCCTGTCTTTTGGGAAGCAGAATATTTATGGAAAGAGCCAACCATAGACCTCGAGTATTCCAAGCAGATTTCATCTTTTGGAGGGTAATCTATACTCTAATCATATTTTTTCCTTTTCTCTTAACTGCTTCTTCAGTTCCTAACTGATTTCAAGATGGACGGATGTATATTTCTGGCAAACATAATTGCTTATGGGAAGGAAGGAGAAAAACCTGGTACCAGTTGGAAGGATTCTCCCTCTGAAAATATCATTAGAAGTGTAAAGATGTGACTCGAACTCCAGCATTCAAGTTTTAGCCATGCACAATTTTTTCCAACAGTTTTTCTAGTTGCTTATGGTTGTTTTTTTTCCCTCTAAGATCTGTATAAAACTTACAGAGAGAAGGTTTCACACAACACCAGTTTGGATTTCTTTCTAGAGAAACTTTCAGTAACGATAAATTATGGAAAACTGCTGTTGATGAGACTGGTACATCTTCTTACATTATTAAGACACGCTGACATTCAGATACTACTACCTTATTTTGATACTGTTGAATACTGAAAATACATTCCCTGAACACATCTTCTCTAAAAAAACAAATTTTACCACAAGCACTTGTATACGTCATCATGCAGAGGGTGCTTTCATGGCTTCGCGGATGTACTGCAGTTTGGAAAACCCTGCTAGGCACTCTGGATTAACATTTTTCCTGTCTATGTTGCTGGATCTTTACTGTTATTTTTACCCATGCTACCTAAAAGCAAAAGTAACTACTTCTGCTTTTAGATTGAAAGCTCATCTCACATAAGTCAAAACTCAGCTTTCAGAAGGTAACAACACATTTTAATTTTTTTCTCACTCCATTTATATTTAAACTGCAAAACTGGAAGCAGACATCATGTGAATCACTCAGGCATTAGGGTTTTCTTCATGCTCATAAAAATAATTTTCTTTTTCTAAAAAAATTATTCAGCTTTAAAATAAAATTAATAAATCCTACAGTGAGTATTGAAGAAGAATTTACATCTGTGGCTGTCAGACCAGAGCCAATAGTAAAGGATTTGTCTTCATCATGTCCCTGAGTCCTTCCAGGAGGTGAAGTACAAGAACAGCTTAACACTTTCCTTCTCAAAGTGTGAGACAAAGGAAACGTTATCTCAGAAGGGAACTGCAATAAACCTTCACACAGCAAAAG